TCCTTAAAAAAAACAACACGTTAATCGTCGATTATTAAGGGTTGTTTATAACCGCGGACGATTAAGTTGCCGAGGAACCGTGCTCGCGCGGGGTCAAGCGTTAAACAAATCGCGTTTTTTAACATACAACGTTGATATTTATCAGCTAGCAAATTTCATAAAATTATTGGACAACTAATCAAACGTGAATTTTATCCATTTTCATTGGAATTCATTAGTCAAATATTATAGAAAAATCCATTTTTGAATCAGCAGTTTCAGCAAGAAGTATTGCTTTTAGTTGTCGATTAAGCGGTGCGGACCCTATTCGGCTAATAATTCGCGCGGCAAGTTCACGGGGGATCCCCGCGACGCAAAGTTTACGCGCTAGGGGTCCGCCTGGGCGCAAACCGCAATATTAAAATCGGGAGTTCGCTGGGGAGGATCGCCAGCGCACGTTGTTAATAGGTCATTACGCTTGCGTAATGGAAATCGATAATTAATTGATCCGGCGAGAGTGCACGACCCTTTACACCGATGGTAATTGACTCTTGAATATTTATGATTAACGAATTAGCAGCGTTGCAGATCGTATAATCCGATGCTCGAGCGGCGACCGAGCGGAATTTCGCTTTTTAAACGGACTCTCGATTTCTTAATCCGACACTCAATTTATCACCACCCGAAAAGAACAAAAACATCCTTTGCTCTTAATTTACATCTCGAGTCTGTTCCCTTTAGCGTTTTAAATAAATTACAAATTTCTGGAAAAGCTCGAAACTAAAATCTTCAAGGATAGAATAGATCGCTGATTCTGGTCCACCATGCGGACGTTATCAAGGGAGGTATTTGGAAATTGTGGACTCTTGAATTTGATTGGCGGAAATCGGGGGAAGAATTCGTTTAGATTCGAATCCACACGCGTTAGACGTTCATAGTAGAAACACAAAGCACGAACGACGCGTTTGCTGCGAAACAGAGAGAGCTGGTCGTTCCTACGGAGCGTCGACATTTCGATTTCCACGGTTTCCGCGCCCACGTGAAAGGTCCCAGGCTTGCGGATCGAACCGCAAACCGGCGCGCTCCGAATAGAATAGAATCTCGATAACGAAAGGCAAAAGCCGCGATGCAATCTTCGACGAAGGTGCATCCCAGTCGCGGACAAGGGGCTCATTAGTAGCAAGGCGATATGCAGAATACCGAAAGTTGCAAAAACTCGTCGGTATGCACATGCGAAAGTGGTCGCGTATCTGATTGCAGCCGGTAAACTGCACGTGGCTTCGTTGCATGGGAGCAGATAACGCCGGTCTGATAACGTTTTAACTGGTTTATCGGTTATTAATAATGCCGCGTCGGCTCGCGGTTTGTCCAACGGGCATCGGTTTTCCACGTTCGCGCGAGTTTTTCTGCTCCCCCCCTTTTGATACATCGACGCTGTTCCGCGCGGCTGCACGACGGCCATTTATTAGCCTCCGCGTTATTAAAGAACTCGATCAAATTGTTCAACTTTGTTCGTATTTTCGGTCGCAGATTTGTTCGACCAAAGTAGTTTAGTTCCGGGGCTATTTATTATTTATTTATCGTTGCTTCTCCTGTAAACGATACTGTTTCTCTTGGCTCGTACTTTCGATCGCCAATGCACGTTTATTTTGAAGACAACTCAATTTCATAAATTCAGATACTAAAATTTTAATTCACCAGGAACCAGAGTCGCCGTCGAGACAAATTGTTAGTGGAGTTTCCATTCGATTAGGTATAAAACGTGATCCCAAGTTTGGGAACCGCGGTCCAGACGATCGTCGTAATTGTTGCAACCCCGAAACAGAGGGTTGACGCGGTTACAAGTTGGAAGAACTTATCTGTAACGAACGCGACCGTAGGAGGTCCTCGTTAGAACCGTTCTGGATGCAGATCCATTTGCCTTCGACGCTTTACATATTCATGCCAGTCCGGGCCCGTGTTCGATGTATCGTGAATTTCGTAGTTGGCAACTGCTGGCTCACGGGCTTAGCCATCATCCGAAATCATGAAAGATGATACGTATCGCCGCGGGCTCGATAGCTATCAAAGCGTAAACTTAACTCATGGGAAGTTTGGGCTCGCGACAGTGTATAATCGGGGGGACTCCGTTTCGAACTTGGTTAGCGATCCTTTGATAACGCGAAGTTCCAAACTATCGATCTGTATCGCAGCTGTTTCGAGACACAGGTGTCCTCTGATTTTCACTTGAATTACTCCTTAAAAATTCTCGTGCTCGAGAATGTAAATAAAATTGAACTTTGCTTCGTTAATTAGCCGCGCGAAAGTCTATCGTGATCCAACGAAACGTGAAAGATGGAGGATCGAACAATACCCGGTGCCCTTACATAATTAAATTCTCAAGCGCACGCTCGACGGTTGCCGGTCATTGTGATTTCACAATCAAACGTCGCGGAAGCGTATGATCCCGCCGAGTGGAGTCATTTAATTCCACTTAACATCAATTTCTCGTTCGCCACCCAATTAAAATTATTCGCCAGGGACCAATTATCGCACCCACCGGGCATCCCAGTCATCAAGGGCGAAAGACGATAAACCAACCGTGTTTCGGCGGAACCGGTTAGCGCGGGCAGAACCGCCGCGAGGATTCCGCGGACGCAATTAGAACCTCTGAAAACTGCGTTCCAATTAACGCCCCCGTATAGAACGCGGCCCTCTGCCATGTTTTATGCAGGTATCCCGCTTAAGAGTTCGCACCTGCGACCAATTACGACGATTGTCACCGCGAGACCTTGCACTTTCGTCTTCGATCGATCGAAATTTCATCGCGTAAAGTACCTCGAAAGAAGGACGCTTCTTTCCCATTTCTGGCAATTCAGAAATTTTAATAAATTATAAGTCCAATAGCTTGGAAATTCGATGATATAAATAACTATGAATGGGAGCCGCGTTACGCGATTCACGACCTTTTGAACTCGACGGGCAAGGTTGCTGTTGTTCGACGGCCATTAAAATGGCGCGACACCTTGCATTGTTCTCGGCCGATAGCACCGCCCCGGGGGCCATTTTTCACGGGGAATATTATGTTCCGCGGACCGATAGCAGCCGTTCGAACGCAGGCTCGCTCGGGCAACGTTCCAAACATCTCAATGACGCCCACTCAAAGAAAATTACGCAACAACGCCGCGCGTCCCATACAGCAGAAAAACACGTTCATTCAGAATTCAACGAACGGCGCAGCCATTGCACCGGCTGGCCCCCAGACACGGTCAGCTTTTTGTCGCAGCGACAGAAACGCGCTTGGGAATAATTGGAAACACGCGTGCCCGAACCGTTCGAACAATTTTCCAATATACCTGATTTAAATACACCGAGAGAGCAGTCTTAAATTTGTTCTATCGAGAACAGCTTCACGGAATGGGATTTTAAAGTAACGTAAATAACAAACACAACGGTGGAAGTTAATTTCACGATTAACAGCAATATTTGCTATAAACGATCGATCGCTGCAAATTCCCACAGGTTCGAAGGTCGCAAAACAATTAACGAAACGACGCGTACCACGAGGGGGGGAGGGGGGTGGGTGAAACTAATTCGACAAATATCAGTGCACATGCACGCGCGAAATTTCTCCCGACAATTTTCCCCGATAAATCTGGCGCGAAAGTAGCGGACGTCGCGGCTAATTCGTACAATTTCAGAAACACCGCGGAGATTTATCGGGACCGCGTTCGCATGTAAATAGCGAGGAACGTTCGGCGAACCGCGGCTGCGAAATAATTTATCGCCGCCCTTGCAACAGCCGGGAACAACGACCGTGAGTGAGGCGCGTACACCGGTCTCCATAAATCGGCGTGCATCGGACTCGATTACCCCAGGTGCCAGTCGTTCCAGTTTCCTCGCGAGAGGTACACGCGACTCAAGGAGTATCACTTTCGTCACGTGAAAACAACGGGAACTCACGTAATCCCCAAATGAATCACGTCATAAAATTGTTTAAACTTCCTGGGACCATTTCAACTCCCTAGGATAAAAGAGTCTCCAAAGGTAATTCTAAAATGGTGTTGTATTCCTCTTGATCACTCTTCAATACAGTCGCAATACTAAGTTGTGTAGACTAACGGCGTACAAAAACAATTGGCTATTCGTAGTCTTGGTCTGAACTTTACGTGTTCGTGAAACTGTCAAAAAGGGTTGGAAAAGTGGGAAAGGTGGAGGTGTAAAGTGCAAGACAGAGAGAGCTTCCAAAAATGAGTCAGTGGTCAAGGTTCGGGTGTGAGTCAAACAATGAAATCACTAAGAAAAGGAATTTGGGATGTTTTTTAGTTTTGTGTACTGACATACAACAATGGCTTCTTTTCTTCGAGTTACAGCAACCCCAAGTGGATTAATAAGGATCGAATAGGTGTAGCGACAATAAACGACAGTCCTTTCGCCTATCGTCATCTTTCCAGACTCGCACAGTAGGCGTTTAGGCAACAAGTAATCCTAGCGCAGTAGGAACGACGACCCCAAGCGTGAGGCGCGTCCGTCTCCATAAATCGGAGTGCATCAGACTCTATTAGCCCCGTTGGCGGTCGTTCCAGTTTCTTCTCGAACGGGGGGGACACGCGACGGAAGGAGACTCGCTTTCGTCAGGTGGGAAACAACGACGCGTTCCGTTCACGTAACGCGTAACTGTCTGCCCACGCTGACGTAACGAGTTGCGGAACAACTTCGCGGTGAAACTTGTCCCGTCGTAACGAGCCGCATCGACGCAAGAATCAAAGTCTGGGTCAATGCTGCAGCCGCGACCAGTTCCAACGAGAGACACGCGTGCCCGCGAGCTTGGTGTTTGATTTATCGCGTTGCTCTCGGTGGTGCGCTTTGTAATTAATCCTTTCGATCCGCGAGACGTTCGCGCGTCTCTCATTCTGGAATCTTATTAGCGTCGTTCCCCTCTAGTTTAGATGATCAATTTCACGTATCACGTGAACGTTCCTCTTTATTTATTTCGTCTGAAGATCCATACAATATTAAGGAATAATTTTTTTTTGTTGCAGGTCGTCGGTGCTTCTTCTATTTATTATAGGGCTGAGCTTGCGCGACGCCTTCGCGAAACACGTGAGTATTGCATTCGTTCTCTAGCATTTTTACACATCCTTTTACACGTTGAAACACCCTGTACGTTCGGGGGAAGTCTGCGGATCTTGACGATAAACCTGAAACAAGGTCTCCGGCGGAACACCTTCAGCCGCATTCCTTTAGGCTTTATTGCCCCCACCGCGACGACGGTGGCTTGAGTTTCAAAGGGCCGAGCCTCGATCGAGCTATCTGCCTCGTTTTTGCAAATTTTACGAGAGCATACAACGTCGAATTTATGCAGATGGCTTCGAAACGCGTCACATTAACCGCAAATACTAATTTAAAGATCACGGGCGTCGTTAAAAAGACACGTTGACGCTATCGTTACCAATTCTGGCAAAAATCAAATCTCGAGATAAGAATTTTTATCGTAATAGCTAATTAAAATTCTTGTCCTCTCTGCCCGTCAGCGATCGGTAGTCAACGAGAGGAAGCGTGTTGCGTTAAATCATCTATAATATGTATCGAAGAATAAAGTGTGCGGTCCCCTTTTTCGCTCAAGAGTCACGCACATCTATCACGCAATGGACGGAGCATCGGAAGCCCCAAGGATCAAGAGAGAAAGAGTATCGACGCTTCGTCTGCCTCGAACCGATCTACGGACCCTTTCAGTCCCTCCGTTTCATCCTGTTTTCGCCCTGGGCAAGAAAGAAGCGAGAAACGCCGCTCGTAAACACGACTTCTGCACTTTGAGTGATTACGCCCATCGCGCACGCTAGCCGCGCACGTCCCTCGCGCATGCCGTTTGCGCAGTCCGGGGAATCCGTCCGAAAGACGGAGGTTCCTCGAAGCTCCTTATTTTACTTCAAGTCAACCAAACGTAGTACTTTTTGAACCTACACCAATTGATTTCTCGAAAGTCATTAAATCGTAGAATTATCCTTGTCTTTTACAGCATGTTTACCATCTGAGAAGATGGGCGCCATTTGTGCCAATCTGAGGCCGTCTTCGAATAAAAGAGTCTGTCGGATAGCGGTCGCGGCATATTGCACGCAATAATCAAAGTCCAAACTGCTTATTCCGAGCAGTCGCGTGTGCAATCCTGAACGGAACAGCTTTGACGAACGAGCAGACGGGAGAAAATAAGGGAAGAAATAAAAGCCCCGGCGATCAGCCGCCTCGTTGTGTCACGAATTCGCGCGCGAAATGAAAGCCCGCGGCCGTCGTTTGTTTCTCGAAGAGGAGAGTTTCGCGGCAGGATCCAGGAGAAACGAGAAAATAGACGACCAGGCTGCGAAGGATAAGGGACGAGGAACGAAACGGTCCTCGGTAATCTCGTCGTATGCTCTCGCGCCTGCTGCTGCCGTTGTTCCTCCGCGTCGTTTCGTGTGTGTACCTACACATTGCATCCGTCTTACACGGGAAATAACTTACGGGAGAAATAACTCAGGATCGTGTTACCGGCCACCTTTATGCGCGCTTTTGGTCCTGAAACACGCGGCCATTTGATGAACTCCACGAACGGGGAACGACTTTGTCTCGCTGTTTCGAATTTTTACACGTTGCTCTCGGTACGTGGAAAAATATCTCGATCGTTCTCAACGATTTAGAATATTTTAACTCACCTTCTTGAGGTAATTGAAATTATATTGAAACTACCGGTTCGTTGGCTAGTTCTGAAAAAAAGGGGATGTAAAGAATATTACGACGTAACGGGGCACGAAGGAATACACGAAATATTGGCTTTCCGTTTCGAATTTCGAAATAGTATCGGTTTCGGTGCGATTGGCTCGTCGCGTACCGCGATATTTTAACCCGAAGCCGGGGAAATTACGTTCATAAATCCGCCGGGGTTATCCGCGAGAATTTTTATCGCGAAAAACGGAGATATCGTCGGGATATCTCAGGAACGAGATTATCAGAATAAGCGATCGAAGGGAGCGAAAGGGGATGAGACACAGCGAGACGGGATGGAGAGAGTCTTGACTTATTGCTGCTTTTTACCATCATCAACGACCCCCCTACCAGTCTGCGTGGCTAATCTGAGTTAAGTGGCCGTTAGGGACGGCGAAGAAATCTTGGAAATGCTCGCGCCAATCTCGGGAACGTAGCTCCTGGTGGTCTGGCACTCGTCGTTCGCCAGGATGCCAAGCGAAATGCAAATGATCCCTCGATCGATTGGAAATTGAGCGTTAAGCTCGATGATTAGAAACCTTTTAAACCCGGAGAAAGTGCGCCTTGCGCGTCGTTACTATTGCGATGCACTTTCCTCGTACACCGATACACACGAATATGCGAGTACATCAGACATCGAACACGTACGAAACTCGGGAACCGTAAATTCCCGTGAAAGGACGACTCGAGCCAGCAATTAGTATAATTTGCATTCGGTGCATCGTTGGTTAAAGTTTAGAAGGGACTCGTGCAAGGCGAGATTCACAGGTGAAAGAGAGGAGAGTCTTAGAACTCAATTCTGTTTTCATTCAAATTCTGTGTATACATAATCAAACAGTTAGCTTTTCCATAAGTATCTCGATACGTTATTTGCTCAGTGCTTTCGCCAAGCAAAATCACTCGAGTGATCGATAACTCTACCCATTCATGCAACGCGATGTAGTTTAACCTATTCGAGGTCCAATAATGGCGACACCAGCGGTCAGATAACTAGGAACGGTTTTCTACTTGCAGCGTCTCCGCGACGCGATAACTTCTCGCGACAAAAAGATCATTAATCATGTACACCGTGAATTCGTGTTACACAAGAAGCATGGGAAAAAGGGGGGCTTCGAATGCATCGAGTCACTGCATCCCGAGGATGTACAATCGCGAATAATAGGAGAGTAATAAGAATCGATGGAAGGATTCGCGCGTATCATTGGGCATCTTTTGTCAGTTCGAAGATCCTCGACGCGATAAAGTTTTAATAACAATTCCTCGTTAAATTAAACGACGATGGAAGTTTAATTACTTGAACCGGAACTCTGGAGAAAATGGCGGATATCTTCTTCAAAATATATTCACAGTCCAATAGTATTGAAAAAAGGAGGCGTCAAACGCCATCCTTCGTACATGATTAGTATAATACCGTGGCAGGTCATTTAGTGGTATCCTTAGCTTTGTACAGACAACATCTAAATGCAGAACAATGCTCATTATACATTGTATTCATAACCAACCGATTATAAATTTGGATCGAGTTTATTATTATTCACAGTATCGTATTTACAATATCCGAGTGTTTTGACAGAAGAATGCTTGGTGAACGGCCATTGGATAAACGCTGAAAGTCCCGAGCGTGTAAAGCAATCGACGAAAGCAGGCTGCGTTTGCGAAACAGGATATTTCTGTAGTCGAACTTTCATTGGGTGTAATTTGGTGGTGGTCCCGCGAGCGACCGAGCACTTTGTGTTTACCGTGAACCGGCCAGGAGAAAAGGAGGGTATGGAATTCGGCGATCGTGGCAGTCGTTCCGCGAGATTGCGTGGCGAAGGGTTAATTAAATGCTTCGGGGAAGTGGATCTCAACGCGTAGGGGTCAGTCGATGAACCGTGAATATTCGCCACGCCTTTCTCTTAATAATCGTCGTGTATACATTCCGGTCAGGCCGACTGTTCGCGGCGACAAACGCTCGGGACCGTGCAAATTGCTACGACGATTTCGTCCGCCAGATCGTCGATAACGTTCCCCGTCGCGAATGTCTCTGACACGTCGGTGAATTATCGCGCGTTCCATCGTCGTCTGACGAGCCGGCTCAAATTGTCACGGTTAGACAAGCGAAATTTTTATTCGCATAATAGACGTCGAATACTCGCGACGTTCGTCCATCGGGGCGGTAAAATTCGTTTAAAATTGCGGGAAGAAATTAATCGAATACCTCGACCTTCCACGATGAATTTTTTTTAAATTGTTTGAAAGCTTGCGCGGACGAAGCGGAATTTATTGAATAGTTTCGTAGGAAAGTTACACTTGGAAGTTCATACAATTCGTCAACTCCTCTTTTAATCAAGTTCAAGTTTTAATTTCTGTCGCTAAAACCTGAAATGTTAACAAAATTACGAAACTTTGAAGCCTCGACGGCTTTTTAGTAATATTTGAATGCGTCCAGGTGAGATCGTAACTAGTCTTTTCAGTTTAAACGACAGTGTACCCAGTGGACGGCTCGTAATGTCTCCGGACAGCACATAGAAAATGATTATACGCGATCTCTGTTTTACGGTTGAAAGTAGGTACCGTTCGTGGTATTCGCTAGGAGCTTAGGTCTGCCTATTAAGCGCGACGGATTAGGGATGAAGTAATTGAACTTCTTTTACGAGCGTCTTCTCTCCTGTCCTCTCACGCAACGCCCAGCTCGTAAAACGAACGTGAAAAGGTTTTATGGGTTACTTAATGGAGAGTACATCTTTCATCGGTGCAACGGGCCGACTTTTTCTCGCGGGAAACGTGCAACGTCGTCGATACAATTGCTGGATTAAGACCGATAGGAGCTTACACGACAAATTTTTCTCTGTATAAAATCTTAACGAAAGGAACGTGTACTTTGCATGGATAAAGATTTGCAATTAAAACGAATCGAAGAAGAAAACTTCCGAAGCTTGGATGCTGAAACGTCTACGTACGGCCCTGGGTGGGATCGTTACTTATATCGCAGTGTTCACGGTAGTTTCCGCTAATTTTCGAGCATTCTTCCGTCGTTATTAAAACGAGCTTTTAAAGCGTCGCCGTGGATGAAGTAGCAGTTCGAAAAGTTGGTACAAGTGCTTCGCGTAATTACGCGTTCTATTCCCTTGGTCCGTGGATTCTCTTTAGACTCGGCAAACGTTAATTTGCTCGCGTTTTCGCCGCGCGTTCGGATGCTCCTTTGTGTCTCCGCGGTACGGACGGTTTGTATAACCTGGTAAAAACAACGGGAGCAACTTTTAATTATGCGTCGGATAGAAGAAGAGCTGCAACGCAACGCGACGCGACGGAAATTTCGGCGGAAATAGTATACGCGTAAGGTTTTTTTACTTTGCCTTTGATTAGGGGAGTAATCGTTTTAT